ACAGCCCCTCTGAAAATTAAAGGATATCCCATCACAACCTTCCACATATGAAATAAATAGAAAGGGAGCACCATTGGGGCTGATTCAATTGAGATAGTTTGACAAAGAAACTTAATCATCAAATCACATATAAATTTAATAATAAACTACAAAATATACATATGGTGAGTAAATCAAATTAAATTTAGTTGATCACATTGTTGGTTTTAAGAAAATGAATCCCCGAAAAGATTTTTAAAGAATAGCTCCCAAACAAGGCTCAAACAAAGAATATGTAGAGTTCATTCTACACATCTTTTCACCTCTAATTCATAATGTAGTAAGGACTTAACCGAGAAGTTAAAACTTTACCCAAAAAAAAAAAGACTCGAGATACTCTTCTTAATAGATGATCTAGGGGGGCGTTGAACTAATTGTAAGTAAATTCAGTGCTATATGAAGTTTAAATTAATTATTTGAGGATACAACAGTTAATCTCATATAAGTGGAGTGATCAAAAGTTAAGCTTAATTGTGCTCTTTGTTTGTTTTTTTTTTTTTAACTTTCTTGTTTTTTTTTCCTTTTTTTTTTTTTTAACTTTCTTGTTTTTTTTTTCCTTTTTTTTCCGTGAATAGTGCACGACTCTAGATGTGAGTATGACTGCTTATCAAGCGTTGAACGTGTACGGCCCTTTGCTGACAATCATTCAAATGTTTGACGATCAAATTTTACTGAATCTTGAGTGCAAATAACAAAACTCAGGAAAATAAAACGTGAAGAATCAAGGAATTGCGGACGAAGTGAATATGATGATTGCATATGTATATCAGGAAATTAGTTACATCAAATATCAGCGAGTTAAATGAATGAACATAAGAAAATGAAAGATGGTTGAAATAAAAGGAAAACAATAATTTTTTAGCCGCTATTTTTAATCTGTGAAGGCATAGAACATTGAAATTTTAAATTGGGGCGAGGTAAGGCCTTTGGCTATAATCTTCCAATTATCAGTATCATAACCAAATTCCAAAAGCTTTGAAGCCAACCAGTACTAAAGCAACTTATAAATTGCTACATAAAATGTAAAAATATTATAACCGAATTAAAACTGCTACTTCGAACACCTTTGAAAGCTCAGCTATCTGAACAAAAATTTAAACAAAAACCATGGCATAATTTCATCACATTGAATTACTTTTAACTTCGAAGTTGTTGCTTTGCATTGCATTATACCCTTTATCCAGAAGTTCAAGAACTAAGCGCACTGAATGGCATTCAAAATAGTAAACTTCAAACCATAGATGACTTGGCTAACAGATATAGATGGCACAAATATCATAACAAATCATTGGATAAATGGAAAAACAATAGCTTGGTTAATCTGGTTTTATTCAACTTCAATAAAAAAGAATAAATAGCATAATACATTAAATGGCTGAAAATGATAAAGATTAACGATAGAAACTACAAGGGAATGTTCTATATCAATTTAAATTTTAAAAACCCCCGTGACAAGCAATCATGTGGTAGAAAATTGGCAGCATACACCGCCGAATACCTCAATAAACCCAACAACAACAACAACAACATGCCGTTATCCCAGTAACTGGGGTAGATTACATCAATCATTTTCTAATAGATTAAGATCATTTTTTATACAATATGCTCAAGTCTTTTTTAGGTTTATCTTTGTCATTCTTAACACTAGTTGAATCTAAAACACCTACTCTCCTAACCAGATGATCAGATGGTCGACGTTTAAGGTGACCAAACCATCTAAGATGACACTCTCTAATCTTGTTCATCGCTACAGCTACACCAGCCCTATCACAGATATATTCATTTCGCATTTTGCCTGTAAGTGTCAAGCCACTCGTCCACCAGCCACTCGTCCACCTAAGCATTCTCATCTCAACAAGAGTTAACTTTGTTTTATACTTCTCTTTTAGAGGCCAACATTTTGCATCATAGAGCATTGCAGGTTTCACTGCCATCTTATAAAATTTTTCTTTCAGTCTCAGCGGTACTTTTAACCACACAATAGGCCTTGATGCATTCCTCCACTTCATCCAAACAACATGAACTCAACTAATAACATCCCCATCAATATCACCATTAATTTGAAAAATAGACCCGGTATCCAAAAAGTTCACACCTTCTAATGATTTGGTCACCCACAATTAAAACTTTGTCACTAGAGCTACTACTGCTAAAATTACATTCCATGTATTCAGTTTTAGATGTACACAAATGAAGGCCCTTAAACTCCAATATAGACTTCCATAATTCAAGCTTTCTTAAACTCTTTCTCTAGTCTTATCCACAAGAAGGACATCATCAGCAAAAGGCATGCACCAAGGTACATCATCCTGTAAATGTCCAGTATGAGCATCCATAACTAAAGCAAAAAAGATATGGGGTTAAAGCGGATCCCTTATGTAGTCCAATTGAAATTGGAAAAATACTTGTACAATCCTTCTTCTGTTTGAACACAAGTAACAGCTCTAATATGCATATCTTTAATGACTTGAATATAACTCACAAAAATATTTCTTCAATGCTTTTCTTCACTAGAACTCTCCAAAGGACTTCTCTTGGAGCCTCATCGTAAACTCTTTCTAAATCAATAAGGATCATATGTAGATCCTCCTTATTCTCTTTGTACTTCTCCATAAAAGCTCTCAATAAATGTATAGCTTCCATGATAGATCTGCCCAGCATAAATCTAAATTGATAATGGGAAATCTTTGTAATATGACTTAACCTGTGTTCAGTTGCCCTCTTCCATAATTTTAAAGTAAGTCACATCAACTAAATTTCTCTATAATTTGCACACTTTTGTACATCCTCTTTATTCTTAAAAATGTGACCAAAACACTCTTCTTCCACTCCTCTCTCCCCCTCCTCTCGCATCTTTTTAGTTTTTAAAAAAATATTAAAGAATTTAGCAAGCCAAGAGACTCTTAAATCTCCTAAATATTTTCACACTTCAATTGCATATCATCAGGTCTTACTGATTTTTCAACCAGGGTTTTCTTTAAAGTCTACCAACTTCTTTTTTATTAATGCGATGGTAAAAATAAAATAAATTATTATTATTAACGATATTAAGATCACTAAGATCGATTTTATTTTCAGAGACTTCGTTGAAAGTTTATCAAAATAGCTCACCCATGTATATTGAATATTTTATTTTAAGAAAAGCACTTTTTAATTTTCATCTTTAATACGCTTTACTCGAATTACATTTTTACGTTTATTTTTTCTTTGTTTGGCTAGTTCTTACATATATTTTTCACCTCTTCAATATTTATTTTATTACAAATATCATTAAAAGCAATTAGCGTCACAAATTATTCTCTTAGAGTCACTGTGGATCACCTTATATTTTTCTTAGTTCCCTAAGCTTTTACATTTAAATCAATTTTTATAATACAATTTCTTATATTTTATCTTTTCTTGCACATTATTATTTCACAACTAATTATTTTTATTTATAAAAATTTTCCTTTCGATTCTCCAAGTACATCTTTACTCACTTCTTTAATAGTGTGTGATAATTTATCCCACATAGAATTTGCTTCGTCATAAACATCCCAAATCTTGAAATTTACTCATAAAATTAATTTTATTTGTCTTTTAGATGTTATCATCTAAATTTTATGACAATGTTTTCTTATATTTTTATCTTACAACTCCTAATCTTAAAATTCAAAACTGATAGTGGATGTTGAGTACTTAAATTTTCACGTGTAATGACTTTACAATCTTTAAATTCTCGAAGATCTCTTTTTCTCATAAGAAAATAATCAATTTGTATTTTATTAGATCCATTCTTATAAGTAATAATATGCTCATCTCTTCTCTTAAATAAAGTATTAGTACTAACAAAATAATACGTTAAAGTAAAATCTAATATGGTTCTACCTTCTTCATTAATTACTTCAAATCGTAGCCACTATGAATATTTCTAAAATCATTTATCTCTACCAACATGTTTATTTAAATCTCCTCCAATAAAATTTCTTTCAACAAGTATCATTTGCATTAATTCTTCCAGGTAATTCCAAAATTTTTCTTTTGAACCTACATCTAACCCTACTTGAGAAGCATAACCACTTATATTATTAAAAATCTTAGTATCAACAACAATCTTAAGTGTTGTAATTCTATCTCCAATTCTATTAATTTTTAAATCATTATCTTTCAAACTCTTATCTATAATCACCCTTACAATTATTTAGTATGACTCTTACCTAAATACTAAAGTTTAAAATTTAAGCTATCAGTCTCCCTAGTCTTTTCTCCGACCTATTTAGTTTATCTATAATCACCCTTACAATTATTTAGTATGACTCCTACCTAAATACTAAAGTTTAAAATCTAAGCTATCAGTCTCCCTAGTCTTTTCTCCGACCGATTTAGTTCCTTGAAGACATAAGATATTTATTTTCCTGAAAACCATACAACAGCAACAACAACAAAAAGCTTTATCCCACTGAGTGGGGTTGGCTACATGAATCCTTCTTCTCCATTGCGTCTTATTTAGTGTCATATTTTCATTTAATTCTAAAAAATTAAGATCATTATTTATACAGTATGCCCAAGTCTTCCTAGCTCTACCTCTGCCTTTCTTAACATAAGTCAAATCTAAAACATCTATTCTTCTAATCGGATCAGTAGATGGTCGACGTTTAAAAACTATAATATCAACTAATTTCATTAATTTACCTGTGAGATATTTATCTCCATATGAACTATAATATCAACTACAAATTGAAGCAAGTGAAAAATAATGCCAATGTGAAATTAAAGAATAAAGAATTAAACAGAAAACTAGAATAGTACACTGATGCATGACGTTCAGTAATTGAGTTGTATTCAAGACTATTTCCTCGAGCATAAGCAAGTGTACAATTTTAAATTGCAAGCCAACGATTGAATTATTATAAACTCAGCATAAACCAGTATGGATAATTGAATCCAATATACCGGTTATCAAAGTTTAACTGTGTACTCACAATTTTCCCCATCTGAAAAATGCCGAATGCACTAAAGCAAATACAGCCATCCTTATCTCCACTACAGAGTACGTTGAAATGCTGATAAGAACAATTAGATAGCTCTTGAAATGAATCTTCAGAATCATCCACGAGCCCACAATCTCCAGAACTAAGTCCATGCATTCGAGGAATTCTAGGAGTGGGCGGAAAGAACCGCATAGTACGATCTTCATAGGTATATAGGTTGTTTTCATCCTGTGGACATGTGGTAGAATGAACAGGAGAAAACAACACGAGTTAGAATGAACCGGAAAAAAAACAGATGTCGAATGTCAAGGGAAGTAGAATAAACACCAAATTTTGCCAATAGGAAAATACTGATGTCTCGGGAAGGCAACCCGATAAATCAGTTGAATGATGTAATCGCCTTATGAAATGACATAATATTCTACATATGAACAATAGATATCAAAGATGGAAAAAAATTTGTAGTATCAAATCACATTAACACATAAATTGCTCAATTTTGGGAAGGCACTGAAAAAGAAACACAAAAACGCAGTTAGATAGTTACTAGTAGATTTCAACGACTATTTCTGTTGACATCCGTATGACCCAAAAATTCAATTTAATTGGTCAGCATTTTTAATGGTCCCTAGCAGTAGCAAGTCTCTCGACTTCAATAACATGTTCTTAAACGAAGATAACATCATGCTGCTTTTATTTAACGCTATCTTTAGCAAGTGTTAGCTCATCTAGGAAAACCAGGTGCAGTAAACTCTTAGGCTGAAGAACGAGTAACAGTGTAATAACCCGATATAGATACTAAAAAATTTTTTACTAGCAGCTAAGGAAAAAAAAAACTTGAATTATAGGCCTCATATATTTAGAAATAGAACTGTTAGATTTAATATCTCCTATTGTTAGTATTTTCTATTTTTTAGTATATTCTATTATTGGTGCATCATAATTATCGTTTCCCTCTTCTAGTATGGCAAAGTATGGCAGATATTATTGTTTTCCCAATATGAGAGTCATCTTCCTCTCTTTAAGTCGTTTCTATCAAATAGAAGAGGAATGATTATTTATCTCCACCCAAAAACTACAAAGTATCATAACCCAAATCCAGTCAACATCTTCAGCCTATGTTTAGTTTCGTGGCCCCTCATCATACAGCCTCGATTAAAGCTCAATGTGAAGCCAACTACCACATTTTGGCACTTGAAGGAACGATCATGTCCCTCAGAGGTAGGCATCGATCAATGATAATCACGTATTCTCCTCCTCCCTCTCGGTCTTCACGATCCGTTCGAGATTAGAGCAAGCTGCTTAGACATCCAGTCGCAATTAGAACTTGTGTCGAAGTGATCCAGCCGTGATTAGAGCTAGCTGTGAAGATCGGGATCACATAGAGATGCAAATTCGTGACTTTTTCCGGGCTAAGAAGATAACAACGAAATCGCAGGATAAAAACATGCACACAGAAATGAACAGATCACGGAGTACAAGAGTTTCACCCCATTGTTGATAAAAAAAACGACCATGACCGTGGCACAGAGGAGTTCCGTGCCGCTCGTGCAAGAAAGGGAATCAATTGCGACGTAGCGGAGTTTTGTATCATTCTTGATCGAGGCGTAAAGGAGTTTCACACAGTCCTTGATCATTTTTTTCAAGATTCTAAGGATGTACAAATCAACAATGATGACGGGAGTTCAAAGAAATTTAACCACATCGACTGGTTCCAAAAAAGTTGAAAACACCATACCTCACCCGACAGTTCCCCTAATGAGTATACGGCCAAATATTTTCCTTAGAATTTACCACCTTACCTCAAATTTATAGAACTTGATGGACACAACTATCTCGATTGGGTACAAACTATAAAATTAGCGATCAACGAAAGAAACAAAATTGGGTATTTAATCACAGAAATCTTAAAATCTACTGCTAATGATCTAAACCTGAGAAAATGGCAATTTGAAATTTCTCTGATAATGACATGACTTAAAAATTTTACGAAAACTTCCGTAGAAAAGCCTCAACTATTCATTCCCACAACTCGAGGTATCTGGAATGTTGTAAAATATCTCTGTTAATACTTTGAAAGTTCTTCACAATTTTTTTAGTTGAAAACTCAACTTTGGAAATCCAAACAATATGAATGTGATGTTATTACTTAGTACGTACTACAATGAGTTAGTAATATTATAATAGAAACTTGAACAATATTATGACAATATTTGAGAAAATTGAAATGACTGTGCTTGCCACAAGAAAAGAGAGAAAAATGATCGGGTCTATATGTTCTTAGCTGAACTTAGGCTCCGTTTGGGGTCGCTTATCCATTGTAGCGGTGTTTTGAAAACGTTGTATCAACGTTTGGAAACTACGTTTGAGCAGCTTCTCCAAGAACTCAGATGAATTTTTACACTAAACGCAGAACGCATGCTACACCCTGCAGTCCGTGTTTCCAGATAAGCGGCTTATCTAGATAAGCACAGCTGCCCCAAACACACCCTTAATTGATGTTTGGACGAAGTTCAAGAACATATCCTTCGCAGAAAACATCTACCCTTAATTCGAGATATCTTTTATGAAATTAGACGGAAAGAATACAGAAGGAAAAGTTTTATTGTATGATACTGAATCGTTTGATAACAATGAATAGGAGAACTTGGCTCTTGTGTCAAAAGAGGTTGATACTAACAAAGAATGGCAAAAAAATCATAATGTCAACATTGTAAAAAATCATGGCACACAAATGATATATAATGTCAACATTGTAAAAAATCATGGCACACAAAAATCATGGCACACATAATGTTAGAAGCTTCACGGAAAACCTGCAAATTGAAAATCAAAATCCAAGTGTGAAGGCTGAGCTTATCAAGTCACCCTTGAAAAAAATTAGGAGTCGTATGCCAATACAAATGCAATCACGTTCACCAAGGAGCAATTAGAGCAACAACAACAAGACTTCATCCCGCTAAGGGGGGTCAGCTACATGAATCCTTTTTCTCCATTGTGTCCTATTGAGTGTCAAATTTTCATTCAATTCTCATAGATTAATATCATTTTCTATACAATATGTCTTAAGTCTTTGTAGGTTTAATTTTGTCTTTCTTAACAAAAGTCGATTCTAAAACATCTACTCTCCTATATGGATCATCAGATGGTCGACGTTTAATGCAAACAAGCCATCAAAGACGACTCTCTCTATTCTTTTTTGCTATTACAGCTACACCAACCCTATCATGGATAGTTTCATTTTGTATTTTGTCTCTAAGTGTCAAGCAACTCGTCCACCTAAGCATTCTCATATCAGCAACACTCAACTTTGTTTTATGCTTCTCTTTTAAAGGCCAACGTTCTATGTCATAGAGCATTGCAAGTGTCACCGCCATCTTATAAAATTTTTCGTTCAGTCTAAGCGGTATTTTCTATCACACAATAGGCTCGATGCATTCCTCCACTTCAACCAACCCACTTGAACTCTACTAATAACATCTTCATCTATATCACCATCACTTTGAAAAATTGACCCGAGATATTAAAAATGTTCACACCTTTTAATGATTTGATCACCCATAGATACAACTTTGCCACAAGAGCTACTACTAAAATAACATTTGATGTATTCGGTAGTAGATCTACTCAAATGAAGACATTTAAACTCCTATATAGACCTCCATAATTTAAGTTTTTGCTAAGCACTTTCTTTAGTCTTATCCATAAGAAGGATATACACCAAGGTACATCCTCCAATAAATAACAAATAAGAGCATCCATAACTTAAGCAAAAATACATGGGCTTAAAGTTGATCCTGATGTAATCCAATTGAAATCAAAAAAAGCTGGGTCAATCCTCCTTCTATTCGAACACAAGTAACAACTCTAGTATACATATCTTTAATGACTTGAATATAAATCATATGAACACATTTCTTCTCTAGAACTCTCCAAAGGACTTATCTTGAAACTTTTTCGTAAGGTTTTTTTTAAATCAATAAAATCATATGTACACATTTCTTCTCTAGAACTCTCCAAAGGACTTATCTTTAAACTTTTTCGTAAGGTTTTTTTTAAATCAATAAAATCATATGAAAATCCTCTTTATTCTCTGGACTTCTCCATCAAACCTCTCAATAAATGTAAGCTTCCATAGTATACCTCTCCCATAATTTTAAAGTATGACACATCAAATTAATTACTTTATAATTTGCACACTTTTGTGCAGCCCCTTTAATCTTAAAAATGAGGGCCAAAATACTCTTCCTCAACTTCTCGGGCATCCTTCTAATTTTTAAAATAATATTAAAAATTTAGTAAGTCAAGAAACTCCTAAATCTCATAAATATTTTCACGCTTCAATTGGGATATCATCGGGTCACGCTTATTTTCCACCCATGATTTTCTTTAAAACGTCCTAAACTTCTTTTTCACTAATGTGTCACGCTTATTTTCCACCCATGATTTTCTTTAAAATGTCCTAAACTTCTTTTTCACTAATGCGATGGTAAAAATAAAAAGTATTATTATTATTAAGGATATTAAGATTTAAGATCACTAGTATTTTCAAAAACTCATTCAAAAGTTTATCAAAATAGCTCACCTACCTATGTTGAATATCTACATCTACGAAAAACACATTTTTATTTTCAACTTTAAAACACTTTAATTGAATTGACTCTTCTTTACTGGTCTCTTTATTTGATAAGTTTATAAATATAATTTTCACCTTATATTGTATCTAATCTACTATAAAGATCACCAAAAACATAATTATTAGCATCACAAATTGCCCTCTTAGACTCCCTACAGGTCACCTTATATTTTTCTCAGTTCTCTAAGCTTTTCGAGCAATTAGAGGACTTGAAAAAATTATTTCAATATTCATTATTATCCCTGACTAATTCTTGCCCTTTAGTACAAAAGCCCAACTCTCTAACCAGTGTTTTGTTAGTGTTATTCCTAATTTTTCCCATTCTTAGATAATACTCTGGCACGACTAATCTTATGGCAATTTGTTCGAAATTATCTTGCTCCTACAGATCTTGTGCAAGCAATTAAAATGCCAAAATTGACAATGGTTCACTCTAGGTAATTGCCAGAATTGGAACTGCCAACTCTCTCCACTGTTAACCAATCACGATGTTCTTCATGTTCCAAATACATCGTGTAATTTGTTCTTTATTAGTAAAATTTTTACTGATCATCAATGCCAAGCTAACTTTTATTCATGTCATGAGTTTTAG